CCTGCTGTATCTTCCATAGGGATAAGGTAGTGCTCCTTACCGATCCTACTTTCCGACCTAAGGCGGATTCGAAGTTCCACCGGTCGCAGGAAATATGTCTCCCAACATTCTGTCCTTCTTTTTTTCATTCCTGAATCGGTCCTCCGTGGAAGAGGTTTGTAAAGCAGCAACGTGGTCGTCTATCTCGACCTTCACAAGACACTACAAGTTAAATACGATGGCTTCAGCAGACGCAGCATTTGGGAGAAGAGTGTTACAGCACGCAGTTTCGTACACCTAATGCGGCATTCCTGAATCGGTCCTCCGTGGAAGAGGTTTGTAAAGCAGCAACGTGGTCGTCTATCTCGACCTTCACAAGACACTACAAGTTAAATACGATGGCTTCAGCAGACGCAGCATTTGGGAGAAGAGTGTTACAGCACGCAGTTTCGTTAGAGGAAGATGACATCCCACCCAAATGAGGGACACTGCTCGGGGAGGTCCCATACAGATGTCCTCCGTCTCAGAGGGAGAACGACCATTGGACACTTACCGTGAGGGGTCCTTCTCCTCTGAGAAAAGGAGGACATCTGGGCCCTCCCACTGTCATCTTTCTGCATTTTTTCTCTCTGTGCTGGTCTCTTCTCTTGTTTTTTCTCCCGTCTGCTTCACATTCCCCATCTTGGGGTTTTTCTGTTAGCAAAGCAAAAAATTGTTGTTAGATGTTTATGTTGATGTTCACAGTTATGTTATAGGGCAAAGTTCCAGAGTTCAGGCTACGCACACGGCTTTCGGAGTCCCAGAACTAAGGAGGAGGGGCTATTCCGAAGGCGCCAACAGGAAGGGGAAAAAACTTCTTCCTGCCTCCCTAGTGGCACGGTGGGAATAACCCATACAGATGTCCTCCTTTTCTCAGAGGAGAAGGACCCCTCACGGTAAGTGTCCAATGGTCGTTCTACAGACATGCGATTTCTCAAGGCCAGTCTTCTCTCCTCTGACTGGCAGCCGCTTCCCAGGATTTCGGGTGGAGGCCTTTTACATAACCTTCTTGATCTTTTTTTTTTTAATGGAGATGCCAAGGATTGAACCTGGGACCTCCTGTATGCAAACTACACACCCCACCACCAAGCCCCTTCATAGCTGTCTCATCCCAACTCAGACTATTGGTCTATCAAGGTTGGTCTTGTCTCCTCTAACTGGTAGCAGCTCCCCAGGTCTCAGTTCAAGGTCTATAGGAACTGTGGTCTATACTACTGTGTTTAGTTTACTGAAACGAGGATCCTACTATGGGATTTTTGTATCATTTAATGTGTCATATGTTAAGACTTATGCTTGGCTCTCTGCTGCTCTCAGGCTCTCCAACCTGATCCTTTTCTAAACTGGAGATGCCGGGGATTGAACCTGGGGCCTTCTGCAGGCAAAGCTGGTGCTCTGCCACTGAGCCACAGTCCTTCCCCTTGAACGCGAAAGCTGTCTCACGCTGCCTTATGTTGTGGATCTGTCAAGTTTGGTATTGTCTACTCTGACTGGCAGCAGCTCTCCAGGGCCTCTCCTGGAGGTGCTGCGGACAGAACTTGGGACCTTCTGCATCCAAAGTGTTCATTCTACCCCTGGGCCATCATCCCACACCTGACATGAAAGATCTGGATAGCATTCTTCCGCACAGAGGAACTGAAATTTTAAAATCATTCTTAAATAAAAGTTTTGATCCTGGCTGCTCAGCTTGGCTTGATTCTTGTTCTTCCATGCCAGTTTCACCGCCAGAATCCCCCCACCACTGAAATTTCTGTTGTTTGCAATTTGATCAGAGGAGAAAACTGACAAGCAAAGAAATATTAGCTGTGATGTAGCCTCTCCAGATGTAGAGGGAGAGCATATCCCAGAATACTAAATGTGGGGAATAAGCACCCGGAGCCAGGCTGTCCCTGCCTTGTTCACAGGTTACGGTGAATGTGTCTACCAATTACACTTGATATTTTTCTTTATCTCTGTGTTGAGTCATTCTCATGTTAAGTTCACAGCAGGTACAGCTGAACGTGTGGTTTAAACCCCATGTTTCTCCAGGTACTGGTCCTGTTTCATTTGTAAACTGAATGTGTGTTGGCTTTTTCTTACAGGCTGGTGTACACGCATACCTGCTGGATGTAACGTGTGTTCACTGTAATGTGTGAACAGGGCTGCTATGGTTGGGAATGCTGGTTTGGTCCTGTTTGGAGGCCAAATGCTGGGCTTTTGACCTGATCTAGCAAGTCTTCTGTTTTATAGCTTCTTAACCTGCCATCTGGTGCTTCTCCACCTTGGTCATTAACTTGGTCTGTGTTAAAAATTGTGAATGACAGAGAGGGAAAGGTGTGTGAGGCGAGGGGAGGGGGAGGCTGAAACTGGGGGAAAACTTTAGAAAAGGAACTTCCCCCCCCCCCAAACTGTCCAAAAACGGCTGATGCTAGATTTCTTCCGACGGAGATGGAGACTAAATTAAGAAGGGCCGTGTGACTTTCCCTCGAGTAAGCAAAATAGGGGCTTATTCGTGCAAAAAAACATAAAGGGGGGAGGCGACAAAGCAGGACAAAGCTGACGCAGCGGCAAAGTATACCCTCATTGACTTCTGCTTGGAGGGTGCGGGAAGGGACCCAAGGGGGCTGTTTCAGATGGAGTCGCAGGATGGGGCTGCCGGCACTTCTGTTGACTTTCTCATCAAACCTAGGTTGAGGCCATCAAGCTACATGCATTACTTCCTCCACCCACCCACCCCGGTCAAGAGTCCTAAACTCAGGTACCAAAACAGGCGCCTGGACTAGATGACCCTGAAGGTCCTTCCCAATTCTGTGGTTCTGTGATCTGTGATCCTGCCCTGAGCATGAGGCAACGAGGCGGAATAGAAAATGGGTTATAGAAATAAACAAAATCCTAGGGTGATCCAGCAACTGCCAGAGAATGGATTGGAGGTGTGGGGGTGTTTCAGATCTGTCTCCTGTTCCTCCATCAAGGCCTGCTTTTGATGTGGGGCCAAAACACAGCCGTAGATCTGCTTAATTATTTCAGGTTAATATGTGGAATTTATTGCATTACATACGCAGTCTCTCTCGGCCTTCCCATCCTCTTGGTCCTCTGACTCTCTCTCTTAGTCAGTTCAGTCCTGACCCTGCGCTAGGGTTGCTAGGCTGCAGCCAGCAACCCTTGGGAGAAATTGGAAGCAGGTCCTGATGTGGAATGTGCTAGAGTTAACAAAACTCTATGGTTTTTACCGTAGAGTTTTTGTAAATTCTGGAGTATCTACCATGTTTGCTCACCAGCACACATTCCATTTTTACTCCCCAAAGCACTGGGATTCTGGGAGGACTCCCACTACAGCAGGAGGCCTGGCATTCCTACCCTGGGCCCTGAGTCAGGATTGTCGGAAACGGCAATGTCTGGTGTACAAAGAAGAAGAGAAGAAGACCCTGCAGGGGGAAGTAATAAGACAATTAGAAAGGATAGTCAGGTCAGCACCTTCTCTCCTATTAAGTGTCATTCCTTGTCTGTCTCCAGATTGCTACTCTTAGGGCAATTTCCCAATTCTTCTCAGAAGTGCCTCACTCAGTCTTACCCTCTCTCTCAGCTAGAGGTGTAGTTAGGAACCGATCTCTGTCTCTGTCTCTTCTCTTTCCTATCAAATATGTTAATTCCTAAACAAACCTTTATCTATTCTTGAATCAGGTTATGCACTGCTGTTGTGTTAATGACCCTGCCAACAAGGATTTCTATTGCTTCCTCTCAGATCTTTGGGTTGGTTCATGGGCAGAATTTCTGTTGATGCAAGGGAATTTTCAGCAGAGCTGGGTTTCTCTATGTCTCCTGTAGCAGCTGAAAATGTTTCCCAAAATGCTGTCCTGGGGGATAGCCCTCCCACCCAAACAGCCTGAAAGAGGAAGTGGAGGTATGTATGCCAGGAGGGGGGAATTGACCGAAAACTATCCCCTCTTTCCATGAGTGGGCATTTTCTGCTGAATCCAATCCATTGTCTCCTTTTCTCAAATTAACTGGCCCAAATCAGATATAATCCAAAACTGTGATTTGTTTTAGGTGTGGTTAGTTTGTGAAACCAAGATTTGGCACCCAGTCTATTACTCAGATCCTGGTTTGCTTTGATAAATAGTAGTTTTGTGGCCTTCGTTCTTAGCCAGAGAAACCCCAGGATTAAAAGAGTCATACAGAAAGTAAATCCGTAGTCAAAACTAGCTGAGGTTGATTTTCAAAAGATTGTTTTGGATCCTGGTTTGGCATATGAATGGACCATAGATAGTGAAGTGGCCTGCATTCTGACAATCCCCCTGACCTTATTTAGTTAAATGGAGGTTTCATGTGCATCTGTACTTTTTACATTCCTACTATTTCCCCCCCCTTAATCTCTTCTCTTCTGCCATCCCCTCCACCGCCTTCCTTCAGCCTCTGGTCTTTTGGGCTCCTTGCTTTGTAGGCCCTCTTCATATTCAGCATGCCACCCTGTAACTCTCAGTCTGTGCCACCCACCCACCTGCCCTCATTGAAGATTTTCTCCCAACTAGACAGACATTGTGGTGTCAACAGTCTGTTGCATACAGAGTCACTCTGAGCAGCCCGTGCTCAGGGGTCTGCCATGCATCCCGGGTGGCTGAGAGGCTCAAAGTCAGCCAGTGGGCAACAGTCGGACTTAAGGCAAAACTTGAAAAGCTGTGGGTGATGTCTGGAATGGCAGTCCTGGAAACTCAAGAGAGGGAAGGGAAAAGGCCAAAGAATTTGTGGCTTCCTTCAGCCTCTGTCTCCCCACCCGTTTGATGCCTTGATGAGGTTTTAGTTCAGAATACTATGCCTGACTTCTCTCTCCCTCTGTCCTCCTTGCTTGCAGGAATTTGTCATGATTGTGGTTTTCGGGCTGGAATACATCATCCGGGTCTGGTCGGCGGGCTGCTGCTGCCGCTACCGGGGATGGCAGGGACGCTTTCGATTTGCCCGGAAACCCTTCTGTGTCATAGGTATGATAGAAAGGGCTGCTTTCTTCTCAAGCAGGTGGGAAATAAGTTGGTGTGGTGAGACAGGGCCAGGGACACAATGGCAAAACAACCCTCTTTGGATCCCTCTTCAGAGGGACAGGAGCCACCTCTGGGTGAAGGCCCAGTAATCCCAAACAGTTTGAGAATGACAAAAGCCAGAAACAATTGTAAAATCTTTTTGAAGCTCCAAGAAGTTCAGTTACCCGATCTATTGGTTTTATTCCTCTCAGGCCTACAGCACAAAAGGGAACAAATGGATTTTGTACCTTTCTGACTATATTTTGCTGATATTACCTCAGACAGGAAATTGAGACTCAATTTCTTAAATCCTGTGCTCAGTTAGACTCCTCTTTCCAGCCTTGTTTGGTGCTAGGGCAGCTAAGGAAGGATTTGGGGGGGGGGGGGATTTCATCACATGGATATGTCTCCATGATTTTGCTATGGCACAAGTATGAGAACTGTACCAGTAGCATGTTCCCGAGCCAAAACAAGGCCTTTATCTGCTTTCAAGAGCTAAAACTGGGGTGGGCACCTTCTTTGGCCTGAGGCGCACATCTGGGTCTCCACATACTTTTGAGGGGTCCAAGTTGGACGTGGGCTTTTCCTGTTTCCTGCACCAGCTAGATCTGGAAATGGGAAGTGCCTGTATCTAGCTCAAGAGCCCTCAAAATAGCCTGAGACCTGGATACGGCTTTGTATTGCATCTACTATATCTCAAGGTTACTTGGCCCCAAGAGACAACTTCTCAGGAGCACTGGCCCACTCACCAGCTCTGCAGCCCATTTGCTGATGCTCTATACAAAAGTGGAGCCACTTGTGGGCTGGGTGAAATGTTCTCATGGGCCTAATGTAATCTGCTGACAGCCAAACTCTGGTCCTGTACTTACAGAAAAGCCATGGATCCTCATTTGCCTCAAGACCTGTCTTTGGAGAAATGGGGCTTAGAAATGTAATGAAGACAATGGAAATGGTCAGCAACTAATTTTTAACAGGTCATGTCTTGAACTTGGCCAGGTCCAAACCTTGTGGTGCAACAGTACCCCTGCCCCCACTGACTTGCTTGTCAGCCGAAATACAAGCAGGAGGCTGTGTTCACCCTTATTCGTGACTAGTGTGAAAAGCAACAGCCGTTTTACTAGGCAGCCTGCTGTTGAGTCTTGGTTGCTCAGTCCAGTCTGTTCATGTCTTTGGCACAAGAGTGAGCAGGCATGTGCAAATGAGGTGTGCGAGTGTGAGCACCAGACAAAGCTTCTGTGGATGGTCACTCTTGAGGAGCCAGGATTTCAGAAGCCCTTTGCAGAGTGTCTGCTTTGGAGGGGAGAGATTTGGTGGGATTTTAACTGGGGGAAGGACCTGGGATGGATGGCTTGAGGTCCAAACTCCATGTTACAGTTTGTCACACGTAGGGTGACCTTGTCCATACAAAATCCAAAACCAAAAATGAAATCCGTGTAATTCCTTTTAATGGTGGTGGAAAATGCCATCAAGGTGCAGCTGCAGCCGTGTAGGGGTTTCAAGGCAAGAGGAGAACAAAAAGAGGTGGCTTGCCACTGCCTGCCTCTGCGTAGCAACCCTGGACTTGGTGGTCTCCCATCTAAATACTAAACAGGGCCGACCCTGCTTAGCTTCTAAGACCTGGCGAGGGGCTAGCCTGGGCCATCCAAGTTAGGGCAATAGCTGCTATTAGAGCCAAGGAATTGACCCAAAGCATTGTGCATCCTTTTGAGCTCACTAGAACACTCCATCAGGCTGAATGTTAACCAACTAAAAAATACAAGAGAGCAGAAAGTAGATTTTTCAGGCCAGGAAAAACCCTCTGCCTTGCCTTTTCTTCCTTTTTTTTGCATTTTCCTTTTCAGATGATGGCTGTGTGCTCCTGCTCCAAAGCATTGCAGTGGACGAATCCTTTGTCTGTGACTTTAGCCTGAAATCCATGGCTCTCCTTGAGATGTTTGTCCCCTGTGCTGAATGCTTGGAGAAGAAGCACATCCAGAGAGCGCTTGACCCGGGAGTCATTGTTTCTCCCTCTGTTTCAGATTTCATCGTCTGCATTGCCTCGCTGGCAGTCATCGCTGCCGGCACCCAGGGAAACATCTTTGCTACCTCGGCCCTGCGCAGCATGCGCTTCCTGCAGATCTTGCGCATGGTCCGCATGGACCGCCGCGGCGGCACATGGAAGCTTCTGGGTTCAGTCGTCTATGCTCACAGCAAGGTGAGTGAGTGGCTTAGGAGCCAGGTGGATAGCAGGGTGTTCTGAGGAAGGCCAAAAGAAAGCAGAGAACTGGGTTTGAGGAGGCAGAAAAGCAAGATGCAGAGCCTGGGAAAACATCTGGAGAGTCACCCAGGCTATTTTTATTCAGGAATTCTTTGCTGAAAGCGACAAAAGTGGCATTTGCAAGACAGATATCCTGATGCATTGACCTCTGAATCTTGAATGCTGAGCAAGCTTCAGTCTTGCCCCCCCCCCCCTCCAGCATTTGACACTCCTGTCTTTTAGGTAGCTATGACAAAAACAACCAAGTACCTTGTGACACCTTAAAGAGGATCTGGTTTCTTGTGCCCGAAAGTTTCTTATCATTTTTTTATTTTCTTCGTTTATACCCCACTTTTCTCCCCAGCTGGGGATCCCAAAGTGGGAAGGGAGTTGCAGCCTAAGATCGACATAGGGGTAGTACATAAACACCTAGTTTCTTTAAATGAAACTAAGTCCTTGGGGCCAGATGAAAAGCATCCAAAGGTACTAAAAGAACTCACTGATGTAATTTCTGAGCTTCTGTCCATTATTTATGAGAATTCTTGGAGAACAGGTGAAGTGCCAGAAGATTGGAGGTGGGCAAACGTTGTACACATCTTCAAGAATGGGAAAAAGGAGGATCAGCTTGACATCTATACCTGGGAAAGTTTTAGAACAAATAATCAAACAGACAGTCCTTGAGCATTTAGAAAGGACAGCTGTGATTACTAAGATCCAGCATGAGTTTCTCAAGAACAAGTCATGGCAAACTAACCTTATCTCTTTTTTTTGAGAAAGTTACTCCCTTGCTGGATCAGGGGAATGCTGTAGAAATAGTTTATTTTGATTTCAGTAAGGCTTTTGATAAGGTCCCACACTTCCACATAATATTCTTGTTGACAAATTGGAAAAATGTGGTTTGGATCCTATGACTGTTAGGTGAATCTGTGGTTGTGAATGGTTGTGCTTGTGAATGGTTCCTCATCTTGGAGAGGAGTGACAGGTGGAGTGCTTCAAGGATCTGTCCTGGAACCTGTTTTGTTCAACATCTTTATCAACAGTTTGGATGAAGGGATAGAGGGAATGCTTATTAAATTTGCAGATGATGCTAAATTGGGGGGGGGGGTAGCAAATACGGTAGAAGACAGAGTCAGGATACAGGATGATCTTGACAGGCTGCAAAACCGGGCCTGTCAAGATAAAATTAATTTCAATGGGGATAAATGTAAAGTTCTACAATTAGGTAGGAAAAATCAAATGCATAATTCATGGTTGGAAGAGACTTGTCTTGACAGCAGTATGTGCGAAAAGGATCTAGAGATCTTAGTAGACCATACACTGAACATGAGTCAGCAGTGTGATGCAGTTACTAAAAAGGCAAATGCAATTTTGGGCTGTATCAACAGAAGTATAGTGTCCAGATCATGCGAAGCGATGGTACCACTTTGCTCTGCTCTGGTTAGACCTCACCTAGAGTATTGTGTTCAGTTTTGGGCACCCCAATTTAAGAAAGATATAGGCAAGCTGGAACGCGTCCAGAGGAGAGCAACGAAGATGGTGAGGGGTCTGGAGACCAAGGCCTATGAGGAAAGGTTGAAGGAGCTGAGTATGTTTAGCCTGGAGAGGAGATGACTGAGAGGTGATATGATAACCATCTTCAAGTACTTGAAGGGCTGTCATCTAGAGGATGGTACGGAGTTGTTTTCTGTTGCCCCAGAAGGTCGGACCAGAACCAACGGGTTGAAATTAAATCAGAAGAGTTTTTGGCTAAACAGGAAGCACTTCCAGACAGAGCAGTTCCTCAGTGGAACAGGCTTCCTCGGGAGGTGGTGGGCTCTCCTTCTTTGGATGTTTTCAAACAGAGGCTTGATGGCCATCTGACAGCAATGCAGATTCTGTGAACTCAGGCAGATCATGAGAGGGAGGGCAGGAAGGGTAGCCTCAGTGATTAGTTCTTGTGGCCCTTTTTTACATGCCCAGGGAAATGCTGATTGCCACTCTGGGGTCAGGAAGCAATTTTTCTCCAGGCCAGTTTAACCAGGGATCCTGGATGTTTTTTGGTCATCTTCTGGGCATGGAACAGCAGTCACTGTGGGTGTGGAGGGGGAGGTATTTGTGAATGTTCTGCCTTGTGCAGGGGGTTGGACTAGACAACCCTGGAGGTCCCTTCTAACTCTATGATTCTATGATTCTACAGCATTCTGTTCTCTGCAGTTGTATGTTTTAATTTGTTAGTCACCTTGGTTGCCCTTGTTACTGCAGAAAGGTGGGATATACATTTTGTAAAAAAAAAGACATCAGTATTAAAACTCACAACAACCCTGTGAGGTAGGTTAGGCTGAGAGCACGTGACTGACCCAAAGTCAGCTAGTAAGCTTTCAGGGCAGAATGTTGATTTGAACCTGAGTCTACTTGATCCTAGTCCAACACTCTGACCACTGCACCACATCCCAGAGGCCACATTTGGGACCAGGGGTCACTTTTCCTGGTGTATCTGTTCCTACTGAATGGAAAGGATTCACGCAACTAATGCTGTAAAATCCCGTGCCACACTACCTTTGCTAGTCTGAAAGGTGTAACAAAAGACTCTCCACTGAGTTTTTGCCAACTGGCCTTATTAAGTTTTTAACTTGGAAACTACTGTGCCAGTCTAGATTCTTTGCGGGTTTTAGACGCTGAAGTTCACTGACATTCTGATGGGCAAACTTGAAGACTGTGGACTGGACTATAGGACAGCTCAGTGGGTAGGTAACTGTTTAGAGGACCACACCCAAAGAGTGGTGGTCAATGGTGTTTCATCAGATTGAAGGGAGGTGTCTAGTGGGGTCTAGGACTTACTGTAAGTTACTGATGTATTCTGTTGGTTGTGCTATGATTTATTTTGTGTTGTTATGGCCAATGGCTAAGACAATAAACTAAACTTGATCCTTGAGTGGTGGTCAACGGCGTTTCATCAGATTGGAGGGAGGTGTCCAGCGGGGTGCTGCAGGGCTCGGTTTTGAGCCCGGTACTTTTCAATATTTTTATCAATAATCTAGATGAAGGGGTAGAAGGGCTACTCATTATATTTGCTGATTATACCAAATTGGGAGGAGTAGCAAACACCCAAGAAGATAGAGTTAAAATGCGATTCAACAAAGATAAATGCACAGTATTACATCTGGGCCACAAAAATGTCAAGCTCAAATACTGGATGGGGGATACGTTTCTGGGGAGTAGTATATGCAAAAGAGATCTTGGGGTAAGAGGGGACTGTAAACTAAATATGAGCAGTCAGTGTGATGCGGTGGCAAAACAGGCAAATTCAGTCTTGGGTTGTATTAAAAGGGCCATAGCATCGGAATTGCAGGAGGTCATAGCCCCTCTGTATACTGCCTTGGTCAGGCTGCCCCTGGAGTACTGTGTGCAGTTCTGGAGGCCTCACTTCAAAAAGGATGTGGACAAAATCGAGAGGGTGCAGAAGAGGGCAACGAGGATGATCAGGGGTCTGGAGACTGAGCCCTACGAGGAAAGGCTGAGGGCCTTGGGAATGTTTCATTTGGAGAAGAGGAGATTGAGGGGGGACATGATTGCTCTCTTTAAATATTTGAAAGGCTGTCATTTGGAGGAGGGCAAGGAGCTGTTCCAGTTGGCAGCAGAGGATAGGACCCGAAGCAACGGATTTAAATTACATGCAGAAAGATATTGGCTGGATATTAGGAAAAACGTTTTCACTGTCAGAGTGGTTCAAAGGTGGAATCAGCTGCCTAGAAAGGTGGTTAGCTCCCCTTCACCAACAGCTTTCAAGAAGAGGCTGGACAAACACTTGTCAGAGATGCTTTAGGCTAGTCCTGCATTGGGCAGAGGGTTGGACTAGATGGTCTGTATGGCCCCTTCCAACTCTATGATTCTATGATTCACTTTTCTGGTCTCTCTGATGCTGGTAGGAGCTGATCACGGCCTGGTACATCGGGTTCCTGGTCCTGATATTTGCTTCTTTTCTTGTCTACTTGGCGGAGAAAGATTCTAACACTGATTTTGCTACCTATGCAGACTCTCTATGGTGGGGTACGGTAAGTTTACTCCTTTGGTTCTGGCTTGGTTTCTTTTGGAGGTCTGGTGGTTTGTGGGGCGGGAGAAAAGAATGGAAATGGGCATATGTGTTATATACAGTGGTGGAGGTGGAACATTTCACTCAGCAAGTGAAGTGCAGGATCGGTTGTCAGGATGGGGTATTGTTAAGTTCAGACAATAGTCACCAGGCGCAGAAGCGATGTGCGAACACCTGAAGCTTCCTCATACTGAATTAGACCCTTGGTCCATCAAAGTCAGTTTTGTCTACTCAGACTGGTAGCAGCTCTCCCAAGGTCTCAGCCTGAGGTCTTTCACATCACCTACTGCCAGATCTTTTAACTGGAGATACCAGGGATTGGACCTGCATCCTTCTGCAGGCCAAGCAGATGCTCTACCACTGAGCCACAGCTCCTTCCAGCTAGAAAGGTGCGAGGCAGGAATGGGTGACTGGGTTGGATACCAAGGCAGTGGAAGGAAGCAGAAGCAGAGTGCAGGAACAAATTAGTGAGCCTGTCAGTTATTTGGAAGCAAGATCCATCCATTCTTGTGTCTGCTTTGGGGTCACCGCAAATTGGAATACTGAGCATTTAACCCAGTCTGATGGATGTACATTTCTATGCATCTGAGGAACATGAGCTCTGACTCATGCATTAGTGGAAAGTGCCACCAAGTCATAGCCATTTTACAGTAACTCCATAGGGTTTTCAAGGCAAGAGATGAGCAAAGGTTGTTGGCCATCACCTACCTCTGTGTAGCAACCCCAGACTTCCTTGGTGGTCTCCTACCCTGCTTAGCTTCCAAGGTCTGATGAGATCAGGCTAGCCCGGGCCATCCAGGTCAGGGTTCTGACTCATATGCTGAAATGAAATTTCGTTAAATCGTTAAGGTCATATTGGCTGGCTGGCCAAACTGGAAGTTGCTGTAAATCCAGGGGTTGGTTGGTGTCCTAAAAGCTGCTTGTGCCAACAGGCCAGAAAAAGATGCAAGGCTGAAGGCCTCTCTCCTCTGCTTTTACAGATCACGCTCACGACGATTGGCTATGGAGACAAGACCCCCCATACATGGCTGGGCCGGGTGCTGGCAGCCTGCTTTGCATTGCTGGGCATCTCCTTCTTTGCGCTGCCTGCCGTAAGTAGGGGGGGGGGGCATATTCAGTGATGCCAGGTAACTGGAGAAATCCCACAAACTGTTACATGATTGTCCCTCCCCGGTCCTAGATTCTGGGGGCATCAGGATCTGGGATGGGTGTGTAGTCGTGCCCACCTCTTGGTTTTCTGATGGCAGCCTGCCCTCCATATACATGAATGGACCATAAACACACTCACTTGTATGGAACAGTAAAATGAGGCCATGCTCTGGAAAACCCCCGAGGGTGCCAGCCCCCCCCCCCCCCGACCCTGTGGTCTCAAGATCTTTTTGTCCTTACAAGGACCTCTACTGATTCGCAGGCTCCACCCACACACTCCAGTTAATCAGACTAATGGGGTACAGCACAGAAGAAAGGGTTTGGATCCTCACAGATCTGTTCCACTCTCAATGGGGATCTCCTCTAGTGCAAGTTGCCTCTTGCAGCAGGGAAAGTGCCACCATTAGTGGAAGAGATCTGGGATCCAGCCCAGGAGCTACAATCAGGAAACTTTTCCGTTGCTCCTTTAGCCACAAGATGGTGGAGAAGGGAAAGTAGCAGCCAGGCGAGGCCTCCATTTCCTGCCAACCAGAGCCTCTCTCAGGGCCAAGCAGGTTCCGGCAGAAGCCGAGGTGTCAGGACCCATATCTGGGACTGAACGAAACAGGTTTTGTTTTGTTTGTTTGAAGCACCCTTCCCGAAAGGTTCTGGGAGGCCACTGTCCCTTTGGAGTAGGAGTGAAGTGCTGGATCTTCTTCATGGTCTCTGTGCATCACACCTCTGGGATATAGTGCGCCTGCGCCGACCCCGATCGGTAGAATTGAAAGCAAAAGGATTTTTGCGCCCGCTCCCCAGTCACGTGCAGGACTCCAGTGAACATGACTAGGGGAGGGGCACGACAATCCCACCAGTTTTCTTCTGACCGCCCTGCTGTTCAGACCTCTCTCACTCCGGTCGGTAGTTTTTCTTTTCTTCCGGAAGGAAGTTTTACTCGGCTGGGGCACTGGGTATCAAGACCTCCAATTGCACTGCCTGTATGGGCAGATATCAATATGCCCTTTGGTAGCAGTTATCAGAATTCATCGCTTCCCTTCCTGAGGATTTTAATCATCAAGCCAGACAAATCCAGAAGGAGGGTGTATGCTCCTGGCCAAACACCAACTTAATGCAGCCAAGCATACTCTGGACGTGGCAGCTAAAACACTTACCTCTGCCATGTGTGGTTGCGCTCCAAATCCTTGCAACAAGATACAAAGGCTTGTGTGGAGGATCCCCCCTTTGAAGGAGAAGGCTTGTTCAGCTCCACAACAGACTCTGTCCTGCAAGACTTAGACAAGAGCATTAAGACATCACACAGCTTGGGAATTTCCCCGGCCTCCAGACAAGCGAGGTCCAAATCCTGGAACAAGTCATGGTCACGCAGGTCCTCCCTAAAGTCGCAATGGCAGAGATCTTTGAATGCGTCCTCCCACCAATATGGAAACAAGCCTCGCTTTCCATTTGCTACTCAATCCAGGGCCAAGTCCCCTAAGCAGAGCCTTTGACTCCATTTTCCCACCCAGCCTGCCGCATCCCACCCACCTCCATCTGTACCTACACTTGTGGGAGCAGATAACGTTGGACAGGTGGGTCCTTTCTGTTATAGAGGACAGCTATCTCATAGACTTCCTTCAGGTTCCCATGACTTCCAATTTTTTTGTTACTACACAATCGACCACGCTTCTGGAAGAAATACAGAATCTTTTACACAAAGGAGCCATAGAACCGGTTCCTTCCTTGCACCAGTGCCGTGGCTTCTATTCCCGCTATTTCACGGTCCCCAAGAAGGACGGAGGCCTCCGCCCTATTATGGATCTCAGGGACCTCAATCGCTTTATAGCCTACAAAAAGTTCAGAATTACAACCCCACATTGTATTCTTCCTCTCCTTGAACGAAGGGCATGGATGGCGACCTTGGACTTACAAGACACTTACTTTCATAGGATGATTCACCCCACTCACAGGAAATTCCTGCATTTCACGGTGGGGGATCACCACTACCAATACAAGGCTCTCCCCTTTGGGCTGTCCACAGCCCCCCCGATTATTTACAAAAAGGATGGTGGTCGTGGCCGCTTCAGCTTCAAGGGATATGGATTTTTCCATACATCGATAATTGGTTGCTGGTAGCGAATTCAAAAGTCAACCGCCTTCAGCACATCGCTGTTACCTTGGAGTCCCTGAAGGAATTGGGTCTTTGCGTGAACCACAAAAAGTCGATGCTTCGCCCTTCCCTGACGGTTCAGTTTGTTGGGACAATTCTGGATTCCAGGGTCTGCAGGGCTTTTCTTCCCCCCCAAGAGAGCGGACGACATTATTGCCCTCATCCGACTTTTACGTCAGCAGGGGGATGCCTCAGCTAGGCAGATCCAACGCCTTCTGAGACTGATGGCTGCCACGCTGTCGGTAATCGTGTTTTGCCAGGCTACACATTCGACCTCTCCAACTGTGGTTCCTGCAACGATTTCAACCTCAGCGACAATCCCAGTCACAGCGCTTCATCCTTCCCCTTCATGTGTGGGTCTCTCTGAAATGGTGGGAAAATCCTCAGAATTTACTTGCAGGAGCGCTTTTCCACCACCCTTCCCCGTCAATGACAATCACAACGGATGCGTCTTGGGGGTGGGGTGCGCATCTGAACAGCCTATGTGTGGGAGCCAGGTCGGAGGCCTCCGTGGCCCACAACCACATACATTTTCTAGAGCTACTAGCCGTCCTATATGCCCTCCAGTCATTTCACCGCCTGATGCGCCGCCAAACAATAGCAATCTTAACAGACAACACCACAGCGTTGTGTTATACCAATCACCAGAGCGGCACAGTATCAAGACAGCTATGCAGACTGGCTCTAAAGGTTTGGGACAAATGCCAATCTTGGAATGTATTTCTGGTGGCAGCTCACCTTCCGGGTTCCCTAAATGTGACTGCAGATTTCCTAAGCAGGGGGGGGGGAGCATCTCTACATGAGTGGGAACTCAATTGGAAGTATCTCCAGTTGGTGTTCAACAGGTGGGGACATCCAGATGTGGATGTTTTTGCAACAAGTCACTTATTCTGCTCAAGAGTGGGGATGGACCCTCTCTCTCTAGGGGACGGTCTCCTCTACCCTTGGTCCCATCAATACCTGTTCCCACCTATTCCCCTACTCACCAGAGTGCTCCACAAGATACTGAATGAAGATCCCAGATGCACCCTAGTGGCTCCATGGTGGCCTCAGCAGCACTGGTTTCCCACCCTGTTCCACATGTCAAAGAGCTCCTTAGTCCACTTCCCGATGGTGCTGGACCTTCTCCTTGCTCAGGGGGATATGGTCCTATACCACGATGTACTGCATCTCAAACTCACAGCATGGGGGATCCTGTGAGAGTTCTGCGGGATTGGGTAGACCATGTGTTATTGAACTGTCGCAAACTCTCTACCCGTAGTGCCTACAATGGAAATTGGGAAAAGTTCTTGTCAGGAGGTTGGTCTGCTGCTTCCTCCTCCTTGGACCTCACTGCCGTTTTTGATTTCCTGTTGTCCCATTTGGACCAGGGTCTCAGTTACGCCTCGGTGCGGGTATATGGCAGGTACTTCTGCTCACCACCTCCCAGTGGATGGCTATTCAGTTTTCACCCACCCGCTTACCAAGTGTTTTCTTAAAGGTCTTGTTCACCTTTCCCCCCCATTGCGATTCCCCACGCCAGCCTGGGACTTACCTTTAGTGTCAGCCAAGCTATCGGGGAAACCTTTTGAGCCAATGGCCACATGCAGCTTACAGCTTCTCTTGTGGAAGACGGCCGTCCTGGTGGCCATTACGTTGGCACGCAGGGTGAGTGAATTGTTGGCTTTGCGTCGTGATCCACCTTACCTAGTTTTTCACCACGAAGGTGTCACCCTAGCTCCAGACGTCTCCTTCCTACCCAAGGTTGTCTCGGAGTTCCACCTGCAAGCTGACATCGTTCTCCCTGTGTTCTTTCCGGCTCCAAAGGACGATGTGGAGCATCGCCTTCACACGTTGGATGTCAAAAGGGCTCTGCTCTTTTACATGGACAGGACAAAGGGTTTTCGCAAGTCCCCATCCCTTTTTGTCTCCTGTGTCATGCCCACGCTCGGGAGCAAGCTATCATCACAACGACTCTCCAAGTGGATTGTGGAGACTATTAAACTCTGCTACCTACTGTCCAAGAAGCCACTCCTGGGGCCACTTTGAGCGCATGCCACATGAGCGGTGGCCACATCCACGGCCTTCCTGAAGGGTACGTCACTACATGACATCTGTAACGCAGCAACTTGGGCCACTCCTCTCACGTTTGTGAGACACTGTGCCCTAGATGTACATCTTCATCAGCGCTCTGCGGTGGGACGATCTGTGTTGCAGTCGGCGTGCATTTGAGGACCTCCAGCTCCCTCTTCCAGGTAGGCATGTTTTTTGCTTGCTTCTCTCCCAGAGGTGTGAGTCACAGAGACCACGAAGAAGATAAACAGGTTGCTTACCTGTAACCAATGTTCCCTCTAAGCTGTGGTGTCCTGTGAGCAAAAATTCTACTTTGTGAGCTACTGGCATTAAAGTTGTGAGCAGGCGATTTGGCTACTGCACGAATTCGTTTGCTCTGGAGGCCATCCTTCCTGAGCTAAGGCAAAAATGTGTGAGCCAGAGGCTAAAAAACTGTGAGCTAGCTCACACTAACTCAGCTTAGAGGGAACACTGCCTGTAACAGATGATCTTCGAGTGGTCATCTGTGCATTCACACCACCTGCCCTCCTTCCCCTCTGCTGTTGGTCCTTTGCTGTTTTTTGTGACTAATGGCAGCGGTCAGAAGGAACTGGCGGGATTGTTGTGCCCCTCCCCTAGTCATGCACACTGGAGCCCTGCACATGACGGGGGAGCGGGCGTGAAAATCCTTTTGCTTTCAATTCTACTGATCAAGGTTGGTGCAGGTGCACTATATCCCAGAGGTGTGAATGCACAGATGACCACTCGAAGATCATCAGTTACAGGTAAGCAACCTGTTTTCTCCTTTCCTGCCATTGCTGAGGGGTCTGGTCCATTTCTGTTTTCCACACAGGGGATTCTGGGCTCAGGGTTTGCTCTGAAAGTCCAAGAACAACATCGGCAGAAGCATTTTGAGAAGAGACGGACTCCAGCAGCCAACTTGATCCAGGTAGGTTGGACAGGAGAGACAGCTGGCTACAAAGCCCTGGCCTTTAGGGGACAGGATTTCATTTTCTTGAAGAGCCAGGCTTCTAGTCTTTATAGTTGCAAAGATATATCCAGTAAACATTTGCTGAAATTTCTGAATCTAGACAGGCAGCTGAACAAATTTTGTAGTATTTTGGTGTGGGGAATCCAGTGCCTGCATAGTGCTTTGCCCCTCCCTGAGTCTAGGTGCTTTTCCGCATGCTTGAATTACTCCTGATTTTCTTGGGCATTGATCCATAAGCCTTGGAATCAGTTTCGGCAGGGTTCTTCCACTCATCTTCCCTCTCTCTGCATTTCTACATCTGTGGAGTCAGTTTGCCTTAAATAATCAGGATTTTCAGAGAAGAGTGCTGTCATAATTGGTGGCATCTTTGGTGGAGTCACAGCACTCATATACCCCATATTTTTTGCATGTGCTACCATTGATGAATCGGTAGCATGGCTGTTTTTTTTTTAAAAAGGCTCTAAAATATCAGTATATCAATATACTGGTAGGTCAGGAAGGTTCCCTGAATTCCAAGCTTTCGGGTTGTTGTTTTTTTTTTTTTAAGTAAGTCTTTGGGCTCTTCCCTTGCAGATATATGCCTTTTTCTTGGCAAGGGAAGGAGATAGAGCCTTGCGTAGTTTTTTAAAAATGAAAGCTGGGAATTCAAGGAACATGCTTGAATATCGCTATTCAAGGAACAGGATATCGCTATTGTCAGACCATTTTTTTTAATGAAACCACTCATCTTGGGAGGAGGAGAGGGAATGGTTCAACGGTGACATCAGTCCAGTCATTGAAAAGTGGGATGGAGGTGCATGGGAGTGCGGGGGACAAAGAAAATCGATAGAAATATTATGTACAAGGGAAAAAGGTGACTCAAAATTGCCTCCCAGAAAAAGATCGGGGTAAAAATTATCTCAAAAGAAATGGGAGGGGGCAGGGGAAGAAAAGAAGAAGTGAGAACTAAAGGCACAAAAGTGTGTGTGCAAATCAGAAGATAAACTAAAATTGTATGGGTCCAGAACCAGTGAAAAAAACCCATGACAAAACCTCAGCCTTTGCAGAGGCATAATGTATTATGCAAATGTGCATCATCTATACAGGTAGCAAAACTGAGTGCAGAATTTCAGCCATTTTTTTGTCCGGGGCTTACACTGCTCTGCCCTTGTGTTTTTGCTGGGGTGGTGCTCTTCTGTGAGCAGGACAAGCAATTATAGCACGGCCAGAAGTGACTCTCCCTGCCCTCGCCTTTTAGGATTATGCTGTTTACTACTACCCAGCTGCCCTTCCATTTCAGGGCTCTGAAGCAGGTTGAAATTCGGTAGGTGTGGCTTTTCCCTGCCGCTACAATAGAGTTTCTCGCATGGGATGCTTGGCTCTCCCTTCCTGCAAGGAGTTGGTGGTCAACAGTGTCATACAAGTTGGGGTGGTAGGTTGGAGCGCTGAAATCAACATGGCCACAGCTTTGTAGCATCACACTTTGGGGGGCTGATCAACCACTCTCTCCCCAGCTCTTCCCCAATCATGACCTTCTTTTTGGGCCCCGTTTCCCTCCCTGCAAACCCCTGCATGCATCACCTATTCTGGCTGTTCCATTGTTGGTCTTGTCTTGAGATGGAGTCCGCCAGCATAGGGATGGATTCTGGCCAGTGACGGTCCACTGCTTAGGAAGGGAGGCCCTGGCATATCGGCTGCGTGTCTCGATTTGGTCCTCTCCTATTGTAGTCCTAAGGTGAACCTTTGGACTCCCTTGTTATCTCTCTGGTTCAGAGGACTTCCATGACAAAAGGAGCCCCTCAAGCCCCCACCTCACCCCACTATCTTCTCCTGCCAGCTCAGCCGCTTTCCTGTGACTGAAAGCGGCTCCAAGTTGCCTTTCATCTCCTCAGCAGAAAGGCTGATGCGTAGCAGCTGGGAATGGACAGCTGGGGAAACAAAAGGGACGTGCGCCCTCGTTTCAGCGCACAAAGCAATTGTGGGGACTCTGCTTTGCCCCCAGCATAACTGTTATGTCCTCCCCATCTGATAACTCCAGCCAAATTCGTCAGGTCTTGTTCTTGGAGGCAGTCGAGAGGTGGGGGTAGAGCCATCCTATTCTTTCCCCTCCCTGTAACTGTTTCTCCCACGGCTTTCTTTGCCCAAGGCAGAATAGATTTGGGAGGATCAGCTCCAAAGTGGCAAGGTTAGAAGGTTGAGAAGAACTCTTTTGGAAAGCAGAGGCAAAAAATGTTTTTAATTGGGTATACAAAAGCGGGGCTGAATTATCATAACAGAGGTTCCCAGAATCCCCTGGCGAACTTTGCTCATTTTCTCAGATAATTCTGTTCAGGCGTGGGGGGCTGTCCATCTTGAAGTGACTGAGTCTGAAGTAAGCTGTGAGAGAAAGCAGATCTCTTCGCCACTGTACTTTAAAATGTGGGACAAATGTCCTCTGAGGCCAGTTCCAAAGAACATACAAGCCCAGGACAGTGCAATATACTGGGCCTGTGTCAGGCGTGGAATTTGAGGTGAAGTGGTTGTCTCTGCTGGGTTTGGACTGACGCAGGCATAATGTGAGGGGGTTATGCATTCTGTGCCTGAAAAGACAGCCCCGCCTTGCTGCAAATGGTGTGTTGCAAATCACCATCCTCTCTCTTCTCCTGCTTAGTGGGGGTGATCGCCCACTCCCTTGCCCTCCATGGCACTGAAGACAGTGGTGTGTGAAATGTGCGTTGAGGCAAACCCTGATGAACAGAAGCTATGTTTGCCCATAACCATGGTTTTGCTGACCCACTCCCACCCATGGTTATGGTCTGCTTTTTGAGGGGAACCACGGTTAGTCTGTGCACATGGCCCATGAATGGCAAGTGGAGGGGGTGCAGAAGGCATAGCCCTTTATAACTACCTTAGATCCTTCCAGGGTTGCCTATTGACTGAGCCCCGCCAACCACCACTTCAAACTTACTGATTGGTAGCAGCTTTGGGCCTGCCCTTTTTCAGTGGCAGCTCTGGTGGTATGGAATGCCCTGACTCTGTTGATGTGCCACCAAGTCACAACCAACTTATGGCAACCCCAGCAAGGGGCTTTCAAGGCAAGTGAGAAACCCAGATGGATTGCTGTTGCGTTCTTCTACAGATCCTTTCTCGGCAGTCTTCCAGCCAAGTGCTGAGTCTACTCAGCTTCCAAGATCTGAGGAAATAGGACTTTCACCATGTCACCTTCCCTCTGATGCTAGCAACTTTATTCATAAAAATGTCAGGCCATCCTTTTCAGGCCAGGACACTTCGGCATGAAGGTCTAATCTGTAACCTTGCTTATTGTCTGTTTTGGGATTTCACTGTTTATTGCATGAGGATTAGGTCCTTTTTGTAAGACACCTTGCATCACCGGGGAAATTGGCATATGAATGTTTGAATAAATGAACGAACATCAGGCTGGTTGCAAACCTGGTTATATCTGTGCTGGTTCTTGCAGAGGAGCCTAGAAGCTCCTTTATTTATCTAGATTTATTTAGATGTTTATCCCTCAGTTTTATCCTCAGCGGCCCAAAGCAGCTTCACCTCTCTTCCAGTTCGACTCTTCAATTGTCAAATGTTGCCAACCCTGCTCTAACCCAGCATTCTGTTTCCAACAGTAGGGAGATGAAAGCAGGTGGGGTCAGGGTGTGCTTCTTACTACACTTACAATGCTAGGGAGAGGAGTTCACATGAACACACAAAGCTGCCTTATACTGAATCAAACCCTTGGTCCATCAAGGCCTGTATTGTCTACTCAGACTGGCAGCAGCTCTCCAGGGTCTCAGGTCTTTCACATTACCTCCTACCTGATCCTTTTAACTGGAGATGCCAGGGATTGAACCTGGGACCTTCTGCAAACCAAGCAGATGCTCTGCCAGTGAGCCACAATCCCTCCCCAAGACTACCCTTCTTCCTGTCGGCATATGTCTGGACCTGCAGTTCGGCATATGTCTGAGCCTGCAGTTCAGCGTCTTAACCATTTGAGCCATCGCAGCTCCTTTTATACTTTAGGTGCATAGCCATTAAATTGGAAATAATTAGATAAAAACTTTAAAATACAAGTATTTTCCTCTCATGGTTCAACCATATGTTCTCCGACGTTCGCAGACTGAAGCAGAGAGTTTTCCAACCTTGTCTGAACTGAGTCTTGGGAATGCTTCAGAATGAGGCCTGAGGGACACGTGAGAGAGCTTGTCTTTTTCTTACTCCTCCCCTCCCACGCCAACTCAGTTCAGTTTATTTCAGTACGTAAACCAGCACTAATCAGTTATAAACATAATTGGATACCATACTTTAGGTAAAAAGGTAAAGGTTCCCTTGCTCGAAAGCCAGTCGAATCTGACTCTAGGTTGCGGTGCTCAACTCCGTTTCAAAGCCGAAGAGCCAGTGCTGTCCGAAGACATTTCCGTGGTCATGTGGCCGGCATGAATGAACACCAAGGTGCACGGAACGCTGTTACTTTCCCACTGAAGTGGTACCTATTTATCTACTTGCAGTTTCTTGCTTTCGAACTGCTAGGTTGGCAGGAGCTGGAACTAGAGACAGGAGCTCACTCCGTCATACGGCAACTCGGGTCTTGAACTGCTGAACTACCGACCTTCCACAGCCTGCAGTTCAGCGTCTTAACCACTTGAGCCACCACAGCTCCTTTTATACTTTAGGTACATAGCCGTTAAATTGGAAATAATTAGATAAAAACTTTAAAATACAAGTATTTTAAAAAGAACATAATTTTTAGTCTTTCAAAAATTAAGAATTTTCAAAAGCCTCAAGGATCGTCTATGTCACTCCTTAACATGTTCTTTGTGGATTTTGTAGGCTGTGGCTAAGAATCTCATGCGAGCAGCGTAACCTGGGGGGGGGGGGTTGGAATCCAGCAAGAGCATATTACTTAATTCCAAATGCAGGAGACCCGAAAATCTCTCCAGTATTGGTTGGATGTACTTAGTACATATTACTTCCCATGCCAACTCTTGATTATTGCAGGCTGCATGGCGCCTCTACTCAACGGATATCAGCCGGGCCTACCTGACAGCCACCTGGTGCTATTACGACAGCATCCTCCCATCGTTCAGGTAGGAATGAAGTTGCATGTTGGGCCAGGGGAAAGTATCCATGGCTCATACGGTTCTGGTGAAACCTTGGATTTCTGACGGTAGAGCAGCAGAGCGCTCTGGATGGTGAACTACTCATTGTGGGAAGGGCAGCTGCTGAGACCTGAACGACTATTGTACTTTTCCTTTGCCCTTGCTCCAGGGAGGTGCACTGCATTCTTCTTTCCTCCACAATATCCTCATCACAACCGTGTGAGGATGGTTAAGAAGAGAACGATGACTGGCCCAAGGTCACCCAGTTTGCTTCACTGCCAAGTGGGGGTTCAAACTGGTATCTCCCTGTTTTCAGTCCCGGACCCTAACCATTAAGCCACACAAGGGGACTGATTCCTTTTTGTTTGGACGAGTCCAAGCTCCTGGCAGTGGTTAGACCAAATCTGTTTTTGAGGGGCCTGGTTCCTTTATGCTGGATTCTGCTGTTTCACGCACACTTTCCAAACAAGGAATAGATGAATCATCTGAGGAATAACTTTTCCTTCACCACCCTTCCCTGTAGAAAATGGGCCCTGTTTGCATATTACAGCAAATGCACTGTGTGTGTGTGCATACATTGGCTTGTAAGAAAGAGCCAGCACACGTTCACTTTATGGAATAAACTTGGAAGCAGCACCTGGATAAATGTGAAGTTTGTTTCACAGCTCTCCTTCCCATTCAGGGTAATGTGAGAACTACTCAATGCACATAGCAAAGAACAATCACATTGTACACTGTTCATGGATGGTCCGTGCATTCACTGTAACTTGTGAAAAGGGCTAGGGGAAAGGCAGTAAGGTGGATTGTGGGGGCTGTCCTTGGATGCTGGCTTTCTGTTAGCATTGGACATCCAATAGATTTCCAGAAGTGGGGGGGGGGGGTTGCTCATGCTAGCTCAAGGTGAGCCCAGGTGATAAACTTGTTACAGGGAAGTGTCACCACACAGGGGTAACTCATTGCCATTCTTCTTTTGTTGGCTGCTTGCTAGTCAAATGCAGACCATGATGATGCTGAGGGTATCAGAGGACAGCCCCCCTTGCTTGTTTTTATTTAAAGAGCTAATTTAGTGCATAAAGAAACACACAGGCCCTGACCTGGATGGCCCAGGCAAGCCTGCTCTCGTCAGATCCCGAAAGCTAAGCAGGGCCGACCCTGGCAAATATTTGGATGGGAGACCTCCAGAGGATACCAGAGTCGGGAAGCCAGAGGCAGGTGATCAAGCCTCTTCTCTGAAGATCCTCCATGCCCCAGTAGGAGTGGCCAGAAGTCACCGTGACTTCCAGGTATGGGCCCACAGGCGCATACAAAAAAACAGGGCTATTTTTGGGCAGAAACGCACAGGAACGGAGTTCCGGCTGGCTCCCAAGTTGGCCACGCCCAGCAGGAACTCATTAGCATGATAGGCCACACCCAACAGCAGAAACTCATTAGGATTGGCTACATTAGGGGTGTGTGGCCTAACATGCAAAGGAGTTCCTGCTACAAAAAAGCCCTGGGTTTTGTCAACAAACAAGGTAAACAGAATAACAAGCAAAAGGTGGGTGTGGCTGGATGAGCACACTTCTTGTAACATGGGGTGTGGCCTAATATGCCAATGAGCTGTGCTGTCAGGGGTGTGGCCTGATATGCTAATGAGTTTCTGCTGTTGGGTGTGGCCTGTTATGCTAATGAGTTCCTGCTGGGCTTTTTCTACAAAAAGAGCCCTGCGAAATGCCAGAATATCAAAAAGCCCCAAACAAGAAATGCGCAGGCCCTGCCTGACGGCTCTGCTTCCCCGCCTCATAGTGTTGCAGTGATTCTACAGGGGCACTTTCCCCCCTCCTTCCTCCTCCCAGTCCCAACGTTGACCCCCCCCCCAAAGAGAAACATTTAATTTCCCTCTAGAGAACATGAACTGCAGCCATTCCTGTGCCTGGGAAGAAGGGAAAGGAGTGTCCTCAAGACACAGTAATGATGATGGGGCTTCTCAAGTACAAAGTTTGGTGTCTGCTGTGGTGGGCCAACCCTTCAGGCCAGGCAAAATTTGGGAGGGTGTGCTCTTTTTTTGTGTCTTGCAATTCCCCCCGGCCCCATCAAAAACATTGGCTGTCTTTGTGCGCCAACTCCTCGACCTTCCACGCTGCCATAATGCACCACCATTCCATCCATGTCACCCATTGCATCTCCTCCCACACCACCCCCATCAAAATTGTAGGCGTCAGTCCAAGCAGTCGGTGGAAGCTGCAGGGGAGACTGGAGATGGTGAGCAGGTCGAGGCCTTCTCGTGCCGGCATGTGACTTGTGGGACAGGAATGCACACGGCTGCTCTTGATCTGTATATCACCCCCTCTGAGCGGCTGGGACTCTCCAGAGTCTCAGGCAGGAGTCTTTCTCTTCTGAAAATGTCAAAGGTGGTATCTGGGACTTCTGTTTGCAATGCACAGGCGCTAGCGTTGAACTGTAACATTGCTCCAAAGGGGACAGAGTTAGGTTCCCCCTTTCCCCTGGCTGCCGTGATGGTGGTTCAATGGGATTTTAATTCTGGAAGAACTGTAGGCACTTCCGGGAAGGGCCAGCTTTTGTAGGCCACAGCTGTACCTCAAGTATCCAACCCAGTCCAGTCGGACAGATGTGCACAGGGAATTTCACCCTCAGAACTTAATTCCCATGGGAGGGGACCCAATTGGGGTTGGGACCACAGGGAGGTAGAAGGGACATAAGCTTTCTACTCCTGACACCATTTTCCCAATCTGGAATGGCCCCAGGGATCTGTTATTTGTCCTGTTGAGGAAACTTAAGTTTCCCCAGTGGGGCAAATCACATCCCCTCAGAGCCATTTCAGGTTAGAGAATGACACACGAGGAGGTAGACTTTAGCCGTTGTCCTGACCTGAATCAGGCCCCTGTCCACCTGTCAATTAAATTCCAGGCGTGAAACTCTCAGTGCCCATCTAGGTGAGGGACTGAGGGAGATTCAAGGAAGACAAAGGCAACATAACATGTAAGTCTTTAGAGGGTTTAACCCCCCCCCCATGCTGAACAGGCATGATGCTTCCAAGCCCCCTCAGACCTGGTTCTCTACCAGTGATGCTCCCAAAATGGGGGGGGGGGGCAACTAGGAAGAAGTGGGGTATTTGACCTCACTGGCTCATTTCCTGTAAAACTGGAGGCTGCTTTCCACACTGTCTGTGGGGGAGGGGATGCCTTTTTGTCCCCTATATGCTCAACACTAGTGGACATCCTTCACTCTTAATGAGGTCGCTGCATACTTCTTGGAGCTAGATGTAGTTTACACTTTACACAACAGGTGAAGTGTAATTTCCAAGAAGATCTGGATTCCTTGGCTGCTACCCAGTTTGCACATAGTTGCAGATGTGTCTACCCCCAACGGTGCATTTTCCATTCATGTAAACTGTCTGGTCTTGCAGTATTTATTTTTATTTTACTTCATTTGTACCCCAGTTTTCTCCCCAGTGGGAACCCAAGGCACCTTACATCCTTCTCCTTGCCTCTGTTTTATCCTCACCACAACCTGGGTCCCTCCAGTCCTAGTCCAGTGCTCTAACCACTGCACCGCATTTGCCACACCCCACGCTAGCTGCCCGCCTGCCTGCCTGCCTGCACTGGCGGGAACCTGAGAATAATGGAATAGGGGAATTTTCTTTTCTTGGAATGATTTTATGCAGCCTGATATGCAATTGATTTCAGCAGCGTCACACCTCCAATTGGTTTCTGAACGAACACAGGAGAGTTTCAAGCAGGTTGCTCCAAGATGCCATTTTGTTTGCTTGTTCTTGGGAGGAGAAGCAGGTTTGAAATGTTGCTTCTGCGGTTCCCATCCCTGGTAGATTTTGGAGCAGGTAGCTCTCCATTGAAATGAACGACCTCCCGGTAGTTTCATCTGCACTCAGAACGGAATAGATGGCAACCCTGAGGTCATACCACAAAGCTTACCACTTAACTGTGGGGTCCTCGGTGTGGTGCTCATGGGGGCCAAGGTGCCCACGAACACCTTTCTTGGTGACCACCAAGTGTTTTTAGAAAGTGGATCGGGCCAGATGGGGCTTTAACCTGTTTTCCAGAAGTTGGAACATCCCATCCCAATGGTCCCAGCTCACAAAATCCCACCAGCCAGTTCATGACTCAGAGAGACCAGCTGGCCAGCGGTAGGAATGTCAAAAGATTGTATGTGCCCCCCGTTTTCCCTTGTTAACGTTGTTTTGAGATTTTGCTTTCATTTCGCCCCCCCCCACCCTCCTCTTTTTTGAAAGGTTTAATTTCTCCATGTTTTTATTTGAACCCACCCCTAGAGAACTGGTTCTTATGTTTGAGTACATGCACCGAGCTCGCAACGGAGGGCTCAGGAACTCCGAGGTGAGGAAATTCCCAGACGGAGCTCCACCGCCGTATCACTCCTTCACCTCTGGCACGAAAACCGCCAATCCTCCTTTTTACCCGGGGGAAAGGTAGGGTCGAAGCTGCCTCTTGGCAATGTCGTGTCCTTGGTGTGTGCTTCATCTCTCCTTGGTGTGTTAGCGCTCTGTCTCTCTCTTGTTCTGCTGCTTCTTTAAGTGTGGTGTGGTTTTCTTTCACAGCCCTCTGCTCCCCTCTAGTGGTTGTCATTGACCTTTTCAGCAAGCGCCTTTTGGATTTGGTCTCTCTCTGTGAATGGTTTTCTGCCCGCCAGTGAACCATGTGTAACTTTGGCACTGAGCATGGAAACTGGTTTCCTAGCATCATCTTCAGGGTCCCCAGGACCAGTGCTTCCAGGGCAAGTTTCTAGCTCTCATGGAGTGGCAGCAGCACACAGATGATTTGATGTTGGAGTCTTAGTAGGAACCAAGAGTTCTTCACTCTACCTTTCTGTCGTTGCAAAACAAATCAGAAATACGAGGTGCTTCCACTTTCTGTCTCTCCTCCCATCTCATATTGCGTAAATCTATTCTGAATAAAGGGAGAGTCATGTGGGTTTTTTGCAATCTAGACGAGCAGTCATCCGATCAGAGGCGA